GAGTCCCATATTCGCCGAGACACCGTGACTCCCCGATTGCAAAACAAAAGCTTTTAGATGATACATAATACCCTATTTATCATATCTACTACATGTGAGACGATACAAATATAACCGGTGACACTATAATATTCAATATAACATGTATTGGATCTTAAAACTGTCTACATCCACCGATATATTCGTAAATTTACATATAATCTAATTGAAGCACTGCTGATGTATCTGTATAGCCCAATCCCAGCAAATTGAACACGGTTTATATTAACCGGGGCAGCTCCGCTAACATGACAGCTGTAAAGATACGAATTGACATGTATACTGTGTTGACAAAAAAATAAGGTTAATTACATAGTTTGTATAATAACTATTTACAAACTCAACCATTACACATTACATTGTACATGATAATTACACAGTTCCTTACTTTAATAACGACCCTGCTTTAAAGGGTCAATGCCGATAATATTTTGGAGAATAAAACTGCTTAATTTTGTGTTAAAATCCCTTAAAATTCTCTACCTAAGAGCCGAGCAACTAACTCAATATTTGTAATACGTTTTCAAACAACTTAAACCCGCCAGTCGTAATCTGGAAATGGAGACCGATGTCAAAACTGTATTATACGGTGTCTGGATAAAACCAGACTTTTATTTTATAAAAATAATGTGTAGGTGAAATTTACCCTTCGTTATGAAGTACAGCACACGGGCCATTCACTGTATAGTCCTCTAAATAAACAGGAATCGATTATCAGGTCGCCCAACGAAAAAACTGACCCGAAATCTTAAAAGGGTTACGTGTCCGGATAAGCATTTTTGACTTTCATGTCCAAACGGCTTAATATTTTGAGCTGATAATTTGAGACAAGGTAAATTCACAATTTCTCTATATTTGGGCGTTTAAATTTCATACGTACTCGGACTTTTATTTTTGAGACTCAATTCAAATCGGGATAGTCCCTTTAACCCTCCTGGAGTGTAAAAACATCTTTCTCTTACCAAGTTATTCTTGTAGCAATTTGAAAACACATACTACCTTTAAATGCATCTTATCCGTATTCAGTGAGCAGCCACAATGCAACCAGAAAACATATAGTGTGATTACATTAAGACAAAATCGGGAAATAATTCAAAACCTGGATCACAACACATGAGTCTTGTTAATATCCACGTAACGGACGGCAATCTACAAATAAATATTATAATAGGCTACAATTTTGTTCATAATTGTTTGTTTTTTTTAGCTACATATTAATCTGAACTTTTTATTTTCTATCACCCCAGATGAACAAGAACACTTTTTATATTAACGATTCTAACGCTAATGGTTACAACCGCAGATATATATTCATGTACTTTGATTGCTCTATAAGACTGATGATACTACATTTTATTTTACTTGTTAAACACAATGCAAAACAGTCTTCATATGGAGAAAACATATTTCAAAATCGACTCTTTATTTTTAGCTTTAAATAAATCTCTTTCAAAATATGTTTTCAGATTTGATCTATACTGAGCGCCATGGAAAACGCATCACTTAGTTTTTCGTATAACAAAATGATCCTGTAAACATATCTTATTTATTTTGCTTCTTATTGTGAACAATATTCCAATGGGAACACATCAATAACAACACATTTGTACACTTATGGATGTTTAATCTGTAATCAACGGTACAAAGTCAGAGGGGTCAAAACCAAAAGCACGACACAGATGTCAGTAGCGCGTGTGTCCTCCACGGGCTCTTACACACGCTGTGCAGCGACGTCACATGGAATTTACCAATGTTTGAAAGATAGCCTGGGGCAAATTGTTCCATTCTTGGACAAGAGCAGCTTCTAAAGCAGCAATGGTGTGCATCTGTGGTCTCCGATACAGACGGCGTCCAATCTCATCCCAGGCATGTTCTATCGGTGCCATGTCCGGAGACATGGCTGGCCAGTCCAAGACATTGATGTTGTTAGCAGCCAGGTAGTCCATACTAAACCGGGCGGTATGCGGACGTGCATTATCCTGTTGGAAGTGCTGAAGTTGTGGGTGCGCTCGAAACATCGGAACAACAATTGGTTGCAAGACATCATCACGGTAGGCTACAGCATTAACGCGACCCCTGCAAATGTGTAGGGCGGTCCGGTGATGAAATGTGAAGCCTCCCCACACCATTACACTTTCCCCACCCCATCGATTCGTTTCGAAGACGCAGCAGTCTGCAAGACGTTCCCCAAGACGTCTCCACACACGTTGACGGCCATCAGCGTGATAAAGATGAACGCGACTCTCATCACTGAAGAGCACACTTTGCCAGTCTACTCTTCTCCATGTCTGGTGTCCTTGAGCCCATATCAAACGCCGCTGACGGTGATGATCCCTGAGGATAGCTCCAACATAAGGTCGTCGTGCACGGAGTCCTACTTCTCTTAGACGACGTCTTACGGTGTTGGCACTTACTGGTCCTTGTCTTCCGACGACTGATGCACCTCTTCGAGTCGCTGGTCGGAATCTGTCACGCAGATGAGTGACCCGGATTTAGCGGTCTTGAGCCTGGGTTGTAACGCGTTGTGGACCAGGACGTTGACGGTCACGTGTTGATCCAGTAACTCGAACAGGTTCCACCAACCTTACAATAGTGGACTGATGACAATTGAAGTGTCTGGCAATAGCACGTGTAGACATGCCAGCCCTGGACATTCCCATGGCTTCATTCCGTTGATTTTCAGTAAGTCTCGGCATCTCTAGCTCGATTCCTTCACACGTCCAACAACAAATTACGACAGATTGACGTTTCACACTTCATGTACTGCACATTAAATGAAAACATGCTTTTAAAGGGCTCACACACAATGCTGCACGTGAATATTGGGTTTTTCATGTGCATCTCGTGCAATTTTTTTTGTGCACACGGGCCGATATTTTTTTGCGTTTGGGAGCATTGTGTGAAACAATAGTTCATAGTATTGCATAATATTATACATGTACATACAAAACCACCTAGTAATAAAATATTTGGGAAAAATATATATATAATATGTCCATTTATGCATATATGTTTTTCATTTTTTATCTTTTAAATACAACAAACCCCTCGCGGTCACTGCGAAAGTTGTACTGTATCAATTCACCTTAAAGTTTGTGTGCGTCATATGCATTCTTTGGTAAATATCCAATTATTCCCGGCATAATCCATAGAAGATGCCGAATGCTGTCAAGATTTTTGATGTCTGTGAAATAAAAGAAAGCATTTGAACCACATTGGGACTGGTATTCCTTTTAGAGATCCAAAGTTCTAAATATTGTAATTGGCAAGAGATTCCTCAATCCCTCAAATAACGATGAGAGATTTGGAAAATAATAACAATTTCCCCATAGTTGTTAACCCAGCGACTCGTTGACTCGTTATACGGTTTGGTTCGGTTCCTTATATTCTTTAGTCAAACCATGAGTAACATGGGGTAAGATGTTGGCCCGATAACCAGGCGGTCCCGTTTCGATCCCGTTGTTGACAGAGAAGGTTCTTCGAGATTTTCCTGCGTGGCTTCCCCCATGTCCGTGGTGCAGGACAGAGGGACTGGCAAGGGACAACGTATAATCATTCGGATGGGACGGAAAAACCTAGGTTCCCTGTAGACATTGGTGTGCATGTAAAAGAACCATTAAGTGTTACAAATAATCTACAAAAAGAAAATGTTGTGAATAAAAGAAAATTATAATACAAAATCAAAGGTTTACATAAATAATAAAATGTGCAATTGAATTATTTCAAGACAATTTAAAACAAATGAAGAAACGGTATAAATTCATTTTCGTACCAAGTGCCAGTTGAAAACCGGTAACCGAATCTAAAGCGCAAGGAACCGAATCAAACCGGTTACCAATACTGTCATTCTGTTGATGAACCAATTCACATTACCTGAACATTGTCATATTTCAATGGCGTACATTGCAGCATCAACAATAAAATTGTTAACATGGAAGAAAAAGAATTTCACTACATTGCAGTTTATTTATATTTCTAGAGTATGTGAAATATGTGATCTTGCCATTTACCATATGTTACATAATCTGGAAAACATAGCCCTGTGTGCAAACAGTTGTGCAAACGTTAATGTTTTTAAAGTTTTCGGTGATTCAGAATTTTTCCATTGTTTCAGATGTTTATCAAAACTACCAATGATTATTCGTGTTTTGTCTGCCAATAATGTTTTATTAAGAAAAAAGAAATGGCTTATAAGCTATAACTTGATATCATTTAATAGAAACATGCGGAACTTGTAATAAAAAATACCTCTGAAAGGAAATAGATGATTTTTATTGTTTAATAAGTTCATTGTGCAGTGAACCTTCTCTTGACTCGATGTATAATATTTATGATGATCACAGGGTAGATGTAACTTTCTAATACACTAGAAATCTTGGATAATGTCTTGTGGAAGACACGGCATTAACACGCCATTATCCAACTTAACGTTATAGCGGGGCGAACAATAATATGTTTAATTCTCTCCAGATATCTAATGCATACTAAACCTTATTGACATCGGGTCGCTCGAAGAAAAATAATCATTGATGCTTGATGTTGGAGCAAATAACATCATCTCAGGCGATATTCCGATCACGGTTAAACTTATTTAATATACTAGAGATAGAATTCCAGTGGTTTCTCAACAAAAGCGGTATCATCCATTTTGTCAATGTCTTGGACTGATATTCGTATTGATTGGTTGATTCCAAGCCTCCAGTTTCGGCTTTTGTCATGAATTCGCTACAAGATCCGGGCTTCATTCGATCGTTGTTATAGAAGCGTGGAAAGAGGTATTTAAACCTCGCCGCTGACTTTCTGAAGATCTCTGTATTAACTACTAAGTGTTGGTTTCATCACCACGTTTATGATTGACTGTTGATGACTTTAACACTCAACAAACAAATCTGACGGCTGATAATTTTTACAGACTATACAGAGAAACTTTCAGAGACTTTACAATCATCCGCTGCTGATTCCGTAACTTTAAAATTTATACTTCAAAATCATTGTTAGTGCTTTAAAAGTAAATAATAGAGCATTAACTCCCAGAAGGGTTCCTCATTGAAGATTGGAAATAACAGCTGTAAAGGGACGTATTATAAGGTTAGTATTTTTTTTTATTGAAAATTTTAATATGTAACTCTCAATGTATCTAAGATAGGGACTGTTCAGAGAAAGATTATGAAAAGAGTTTGGGATTTATATTTTGGGATCTCACAAGCTGTAACCGTTCTATATATTTTATGGCATAAGATTAGTTCCTTAAAATTAAACTCTTTCCGAGTAACATAGAGCAACATACATAATTTAAATTGACTGTTTGTTCAAGTTACATATGCGAGATTTAAATCTCCGAAAACATTAAGATTGCATTAAATGACGTGTTATGAGACGTCAGACAACGCTTGAAGGAAGCCATGGATCTGTCCTTATCAGGATACAATTACTCTTACTTGAATAAATGTCCCGTGGACAAATGTCTTATACAATATATTAAACCTTTTTTAAAGATTAATTATTCTAATCTCTGTAGAAAAACTCGGAAAAGCCAGACATCAAATTACCGATCGAAAAATCACTTAAATGGTAACTTTTCAAGTTTAATTTGCTTCTGAAAGTACGATGGAATTAATTTCTCTTCGGGGTGACAATGTCTTCCGTTTTTTTCTCTGTGAAAATGTGCGCTGTGTTACTTATGATTAATTGTCAATTGTTCATATAAGTAATATCTAGATAAATACTAAATCTTCGCCCACTTTACGAGCCATTTGGAGATAAAACAGAATACAATTTACAGTTTTAAAGAAATAATTTGTCTCCTTCCTAACATTTATAAAGTATGAAACTCGAATTTGTGAAATAAAGAATTAAGATGAACTATTTTTAAAAGTTGAGAGGAGAGGGGCGTGTGGCGGGGATGGTGTAGATTGAGGGGTGTGGCGGGGTTGGCGTAGATTAAGGGGTGGAGCAGGGATGGGAGAGATTGTGTCTGCAACGTAATATTTTCACTTTCGTCGAAACCGTTTTTTTTTGTAGATTCAACGAATTCTAATAATTTGTTTATTGTATTAAAATGCTGGTTTTGTTATTATCGACACAGTACGCGCTTTAAGTGTTTTTCAATGTCTTTTCTTTTTAACAGCGTTTTGGTTTAGTTGGCGTAAACATAATAAAGAAACCCATTTATACTGGAAATATGGCAAAGTAATTTGGCTTAACATCAGAGAGTTTCATTGTCCTTCGGCAGATCGAGGGACTTTTTGCTGTACCGAGTTGATCGGTGAACTGAACAATGCCTGAATTCAACTGTCAGAGATGGAAAGTCAGGGATTCGTTGGTTAATCGGTTATAGGGAAAAGACCGGAGTTAACAATGATTCAAACAGACTGACAAGAATACCCAACAGACCAAAATATAATCTAAAGGAAAACGAGAGTGTTTCCATGAGGGAATTCTGTGTTTTAACTGCTTGGTTTGACTCATGTAAGATTAGTCTGTTTTTTTTAAATACTAGTCCTAATCTGTGTTTAAAGCCTATATTCCTGATTTTCTTTTATGATTCTATTAATCAAATAGAGAATGCTTTTAGAGAAGCCGTTCGATTCGAGATTTTTTTTCAGGAAAAAGAAAATGTCCTTTCTAATTCTCAATGATTTCGCTCAACATCCTGAAAAAGTATTATACCCGATGAAACGCCATTTAAAGTACACTGGGTTTTTTTTTTAACTTTAAAAAAAAAATCCATCAAAATTCAGTTTTGTATCTTAACTTATATTTTAAAGAAGATTTTTTTTATATCTGTTGTTCTTATCTGTTTGTGACGTTGTCCAGACGCTAACGTATTTCACGTTTGACAGACTAATCGCCCAATTGACATTTAGTAGTTGGTCCAAGAAACATAAAGACATATTTACTTTTTGTTTAAGAACCAAAGTCATCCTACCCTGAAAAAATAGGAAACCAACACATATAAATTGTTCCCTAAAAAAACTACGAGGGGGTAATTTTATTCCTTCTAGGTAATCTCTGTAATTTGATTTATTTAGTAATTATATATTTATAATAAAAAAAAAATACCAGAAGTTCGTGTAATAATCAGCATTTTTTTATTCAGGATAAGGGAGGTCAAAAATAATTAATTGTTTTAACATAAAGTGATCACGAGGAAAGATCCTCGCTCGCGATGCATGTATGACAACGGCTTACCTAGTTCCTTTAGGATCGGGCTCTGATCTGACACTGTCCGCTGACGTTCTTATCCGTCGCTATATAGCTGCTAAATGAAAATACGACTCTTCCCCACCACTGTTCCAAGGCTATTCGGAATACTTACCTTCTTTTTTTCACCGTGATTCTTTATTGTTCGCCAAATTAATCATTTCGCGCCACAACTGACGCAAATAAATAATAAGTAAATTTTTGCTATTAAAAAAAACCCCTGCGGTTTGCACATGCCCGAGTCCCGTAATGGCTGATCAGTTCAAACGTATTTTGTGTATGTTTTTAATCGCAAAATGATGCTTGAAAATAGTGTTGAATTAATATGAATTTGCGTCAAATGTAGCGAGAAATGATTACGCCAAATTGACGCTAGAAACTAGTAGAAACCATGTATTTTTACTAGCGCGTGCGCATTAGATAATATTAAATGGTATAACGTCTTACTGTTCTGCTCTGACTGGGCTAATAAAGACGCGTAGACGCCATACACAGTGTGCGTTGAGGGGATTTTTGACCGGACAACGGCCTACTCTAATATCGAATTCCAAATGTCATGGGATCTTTTACGTGCACGCTCATGTGTACACGGGATCTTGTGTTTTTTGTCACTTCCGAAGGACTATACATACACTGTCCCTTGCCAGCCCCTCTGTCCTCCACCACTGACAAGGAGGAACAACGCCGGAAAATACCGATGAACTTTCTCGGCCAGCGCAGGGACCAAACACGGGACCTCCCGGTTAGCGAGTCAACGTCTTACTCACTGAACTATTGTCATTGAGTCAAATGATGTGGTTTCGATCCCAAGCTTCTCGGTGACAAGGGGTAGGGCCGCCATGCACTATAGATATAAATCGTATTTGATCCGTATACGAACTAATATAAATTATACTTGAGCATTATTTATTCCCTTCTTGCTGATCGACGTCAAGATGAGGGTCTAGCGCGTGCGCTTTAGGTCATAAGGTCTGTCGTTGAGTCAAATGGTGTGGTTTCCTTCCAAAGCTTGTACGTGACAAGGAGTAGGGTCGGCTGCCCATCCGCGTATGTTTTCTCCTGGTCCACTGGTTTCTCTCGAACTGTTAAAGATCCATACACGCAGGCAATTTATTGAGATGATATTGTACCATATGTTTGTGTGTGTATGTCTTAGGATCCAGTAATATCGTGAATATACAAAAAACAATTCAATAAATCAGAAGAAGCTTCACATTTAAAATTGAAAATATGCATTGCAAAAATCTGTTTACCACGGACTTGAAATCTTATCAATAGGGTGGACGTTTATTTTATGATAAACAAATGGAGACAATTTATAACTGGTTACATAGTCTCCCCTTGGGAGTATAAAATAACTTCAAAATTAACATAAATGCTTCTATTGATTTACCGTGAAAGACGCATAAAGAGTCATAATTATGTATTAGGTTCGGAGCCCTGGTTCGTCTCGAAAATACATCTAGATTAAGATTAAAAGCAATATGGGATTAACGGTCAGGTGCTTTTTTAACAGTCCTCGAAATTAAGAGTTTCTAATATGGCAACAACTACATCACGCATTTCTTCTTTTCATTATTAATTAATTCATTGATATGATAGAAAGTCGAAACTTCCAATGATTTTCAGTACCAATCCGTTATTAATATATGTATGTACAGCTATCCAAATTTGTTTTACTTGTTTCTTAGAATCATTTATAGTTTGTTCGCGATCCCAAATGCGCGCGAGTTCCGGTGATGGCCATATTGAAATCATACGTTCCTTTAGGAAGTTTAGGTCATTACTTCGTCTGCAATGTACGTGAGTTTTTGTGACAGACATAATAAAAAAATTTTCATGAATAAAACTCACTTATAAGGAAACACTTTTTAAAAATTGAACCCTTAATTGTTAGCATGTGCATGGCATTGTATTCATAATGGTAGATCCTGAATCACTATCTCGTTGGCCGAATTCCAATAGTACCCTAACGGCTACACAGAAGACATACATGTAAGGTGTAATTTTGTATAGCGGTTTGTGCTGGTAAAAATATTATCATTACTTATGGGAACATTCGGTGTTTTGTCAGAGATTTTTTTCAATGACTACGTTTAATTTTATTATAAATATCTACCTAGAATTCTAAGCATTTAAGGCCGCGAGATTCATTATTTCATGACGTTGACATGAAGTTTTGTTGCGTTAAATTTTACTGCAACATTTTCAGCATTTGTTTGTCTAGATAACCATTTGGTATGGCAGTTCTATTATAGGAAACGTGGGTACATATACGGCAAATAAAATTTAATTTAGTAATAACATTTCAGTACTAGCCTATATAATGGCTTCAACTTCTTGTGGTGAATTAGATATGGTATTTGTTCGCCTTTCCACTCTTTCATTTCCGACCATTTGCCGCCACCAATTTTAAACATGCATAATGCAAGAGCTAAATTCTTTCTTTAGGCCTGAAATGTTATATAAATGGCTATTTAAACGTTAATTAACTTACCAAAACCATAATCAACTCTCGATACCATCGGATATCTGCGATATTTAGCAGATTCAAATATGTCTTGTGCTGGATGCGGTTACCGTAAAAATGGATAATCGAGACTTTGTTTATTTTCTTAAAAACGGTATTAATGACAATCGAGGCTATCCTATAATTAAATCCCCGAACCTTGGCTCAGAGTGAAGTAATTTGACTATTATAGCGAGAACTGTCAGCTCTTTATCTAATCTTACATAATGCCGCGTTAATATATATTTCTGTCTTGATAGTAGCTGAACCCCTCACCTTGTCTTTCAAGTCTCATTTCTTACCTGTTCGTTTTACATAATGACCTAATTATTTGATTAGTTCACCAAGTATTCGACTGGATCTTTTCTGAAAAAAA